GTGTGTGTCTGTGTGTGGTGTGTGTGTGTGTGTGTGTGTGTGTGATGCATAACAGTGAATATTAATCATTTTCAACTTGACAATCACTGTATAGTAATCATAAACAGTCCGTTTTCATACATGAAATCATCTTCCCTTGAGAACTAAATCTTCGATGGGGGTGATTATCCTTTTTGAACTCTGAAAATTAACTATTTACAGTAAGCTAAAATAAGAAGATATTCTTAATACATTTTAATCGATGGAAAGCGCTTCTGTAGGTGGCATTTGTTTTTCATTTACTGGCAACAAGTAGAAGCACTCAAATCACAAATGTTTTTTTCTCTGCTTTAGCTGAACTGAAGCTGAATATGCCACGGAGCCCGACGTCCAGCGAGGATGAGATGGCTCAGAGTTTTTCTGAATATTCTCAGGAATCCAGCTCAGAAAGTTCAAAAGAGGAGGCCATCTATGAGACGATCAGGACAGAACAGACTGTCAGCCACATGACGGACGTCCAGAGCCACTCGCTGGTCATTAGAGTGAATATCCCAGACCTGCAGCAGACGGTGAGTGTGTGCTTATTGACTCAATGAGTACAATTTGTCATAGGCGATCAACTTTTAGTGTACTTTAGAAAACATCCTGTAAGTTTCATAACTTAAAACTTCCTCTCCAGTCCAAAAACAGCATTTATTGTTTCCAGATGAGTTTGAGAAAACACACTCTCTTCTTTCCAACACACAGCTGAATTCAAACAGCTCAAAGATTCAAAACAGTTCAGTCATTCTGTGATTCGATCACAGTTCAAAGATTCAGAGGTTCAGTCTATAGTCTAGTCAGAGGAGAGATTTATGTGAGTCTGGGAATCAACAAGAGTTCAGTGAAATACTGAATTACAGAGGCCTGTTCTTCATATGTGGAGTACTGAATCATCTATGTTTAATGGTTGGCTCAGTGAGTTATTAGTCAATTATTTGACTCTATCCTGGATTGTTCTGTCCTTTGAATCTCATCTCAGAGTTGTTGTCAAGCCTGAGCTAGATTGGAGCAGGTTTATTTCACGCAAACAGGATTCGATTGCAGTGCAGATACTGAAAGTCCATCCCAGTCACCGACCCGTTGTTTAAAAGAGCGCTCTATTGAACAAAGAACAATAATAAATCACAATAAAAATGATAACTAACAAATTTAGTTGAAATAATAATACTGTGTAGCGGTTTGTTACATTTCCCTTGTGTTTGTTTGAACTCTTTGCTTTGTTCCTGTTTCCTGTTCTTTTTGTAGTCAGTTTGTAGTTTTTTTAATCAGCTGGTCGTTGTTCTGAGGTGTTTTGCCAGTTTCCTCTTGTGTGTTTCCTAAGTTGAATGGAAGCAGCTGCTGAGACATGACCAGTTGTAATAGAAGCATAACAAATAATAAAAATGGGCTGAATGTTTATGATTGACGTACAGTAGCCTATGCTTGACATTGATGTCTGAAACTGAACTGATGTCCCTTTGCTCTTCTTCAACAGAAGTGCGTGCGGTTTAACCCCAGTGCCACGGTGTGGGTGGCTAAACAGCGTCTGCTGTGTACTCTGAGTCAGAATCTGAAGGATGTGCTGAACTACGGACTCTTCCAGCCGGCCAGCGGTGCTTTCTTGGATGAAGAGTGTCTCGTCGGAGAATATCCACAGCTGGCCTGCGAGGACGCCGCGTCACTGGAGGTACAGGAAAGGCCTTACAATCGTCAGGGTCTAATGAAAACCATAGCAGAGTAATGCAATACAGTACACTCAAGTAGCATAACTCAGGACATCAGGACTGTATTCTGAGATTTGTAAATATTAGTTACCCTGAAATTACTACGGTGAAAACCTGAGAAGCTTCTTTGTTCCTGTATGCTACAGTTTCGCTACAAAACCAGACTGTATGATCAGCCCGGTGCGGACGAGAAGCAGATTGCCAGACTTCACACAAAGGTGAGAGCCGATAAGTCCTTTCTTGTTTGGTGTTAAAATACCAGAAATCGTTTTGAATCGTTTTTTTTTTTTTCATAATTCAAAATGACTGAAGATTTTTGGGGTAGAGAGAGAGATGGCAAGTCTAGTACATTCTAGTGCTGTCTGCTTGCACGAAATGTATGAAAGTGAAGATCTCATGGCAGTCTGTGAGGATTGTTTCAGCATCTGTGCACATGGCATGTTGCGTTCGGGCTCATTGTGGTTCTGATAGTCTGATTAAAGTAGTAAGTAATGATGTGCAATTTACATATAATAAGCAAAAACACTTATTCAAGTAACACTCAGTTATGTATCTAATTGTAAACGGATGTGTTTTGTTGCATGAGTAGCTGCTGCTGTGTCTTAGCAAGTATGTATGTATCTAACGGCTTTAAGCATTCAGTATAATGGCTTCTGACTGAAGGATCATTTTTCTTTATTTTCTCTCTCCAGGCCAACTTGAGGAGGTTCATAGATTACATCCGACATCATCAGCTAGAGAAGCTCTCCAAAATGCTTGACCGAGGCCTGGACCCCAATTACCATGACATGGACACTGGAGGTACCAGTGATTTAAAGAGTGATATAAACTTCTTGTGATTATGTACAATAAGCAGAATAATTGCAACACAAAGGGAAAAAGTGGAGATAAGGTGAGAAAGCATTAAGCTCATGAATGCCAGTCAAGTCTGAAGCAAGACGTGACCCATAGTGTGTGTGTGTGTGTGTGTGTGTGTGTGTGTGTGTGTGTGTGCTATAGAGACGCCGCTCACCTTTGCGGCCCAGCTGGAGAGTACGGTGGAGTTTATTAAAGCACTGAGGAACGGAGGAGCTCATCTGGACTTCAGGGCCAAAGACGGCATGACTGCGCTCCACAAAGCAGCTTGCTCTAAAAACCAGGCCACGCTCAAGGTACACAACTGAACTGAGTTTAATTACATTAAAACCAGAGATATTATTCGTTTAAAATTAGCAGACTAATATTGCATTAATTATTAGGTTTTAGTTCTAACAGCCTCTATTGTCTCTATTTTAGCTGGCATTTTCCAAAAAATAGAATACTCAATAGTGTCTGAAAACACGTTTTTTTAGCAAATGATCAGCAAAAGCAAGTACTTACCCTTCAGAAAACCAACAAAATATACCAGCTATATTTAATTACATTTATTTAATGTATGTAGTTTGCATTTTTTGCAACCCTGTTACCAAAACCTGGACTTGTATGATACAGGACTCCAGACTCCAAGTTCTGCTGAACCAGATCCGGGTTTTGTGGTGGTTTGGTGCCGGTTGCATGAAAACCCTGAAAGTGGTTTGACTGAAGGCTCTCCATGAGGAAAGGGATTTCTTTAAGTGCATTGCAATTACTTTTTTACTCTTTTCATATTTTCATGTCACCCATCATCCATCATGGGACACTAATGGTACAATAATGTGACACCAAAAGGTACTCTATTCAGGGAAAGTGCCAGCGACTTAAATGGTCCTGAACTGGAACTGCAAAGTGGCAACAAGTGAGACAGAAGAATGATAAATATGTGACCCTGCAGCACAAAAGCAGTCTTAAGTCGCTGGGGTATATTTGTAGCAATAGCCAACAATACATTGCATGGGTCAAAATTATACATTTTTCTTTTATGCCAAAAATCATTAGGATATTAAGTAAAGATCATGTTCCATGAAGATATTTTGTAAATTTCCTACCGTAAATATATCAAAACTTAATTTTTGATTAGTAATATGCATTGCTAAGAACTTCATTTTGACAATTTTAAAGATGATTTTCTCAATATTTAGATTTTTTTGCACCCTCAGATTCCAGATTTTCAAATATTGTCCTATCCTAACAAACCATACATCAATGGAAAGCTGATTTATTCAGCGTTCAGATGATGTATAAATCTCAATTTGAGAAAATTGACCATTATGACTGGTTTTGTGGTCCAGGATCACATATACCTTAGTTGTGTTACAGTGGTGTTTCTTGTGAATGATCGTGCTCTTCAGACGCTGCTGGAGCTCGGGGCATCTCCTAACTATAAAGACAGTCGTGGTTTGACAGCGCTGTATCACACAGCCGTGCTGGGAGGAGACACCGACTGCTGCGAGCTTAGTTGCATCTCAGCCAAATATTGTCCTATCCTAACAAACCATACATCAATGGAAAGCTGATTTATTCAGCGTTCAGATGATGTATAAATCTCAATTTGAGAAAATTGACCATTATGACTGGTTTTGTGGTCCAGGATCACATATACCTTAGTTGTGTTACAGTGGTGTTTCTTGTGAATGATCGTGCTCTTCAGACGCTGCTGGAGCTCGGGGCATCTCCTAACTATAAAGACAGTCGTGGTTTGACAGCGCTGTATCACACAGCCGTGCTGGGAGGAGACACCGACTGCTGCGAGCTTCTGCTGAACGAGAACTCCTCCGTCTGCTGCCAGGATGAGAACGGCTGGCACGAGATCCACCAGGTCAGCTTCATCCATGGCTTTATTAAAGATGCCGAGGTCCCAGGAGTATCAAGTATTTGAGTTATAATGCATCATCACTATACTTAAAAACTGAAAATTTAATCGTTTCCTCGATTACGTCACAACTAAAATGAATATTCTGTGAGTTCAGTCTGTGGATGGCATCTGTGCCCTGTGATTGATCACTAGAATATAGAATAATGTGTTTACAAGCAGAAATGTGAAGTTTGGATGTATACTGTTTATGTCTTTTTATGTGGCGCTACTTTTGTAGGATGAAGGATTCTAGAGCTCTAATTTCTCTGGATGTTTGTTGTAGGTTCACAATGCTAATAGTTCAACCTGACCCATCCCTTACATAAAATATAAAAAGAGCCTTAAATGCCTAAAAAATCAGAAAAATTCATGAACCAAACCACTGACAGAACGGTCAGAAAAGCTCCTGCTGAACACATTAGACAAAACATTCTGTTTACACAAGCAGGACATAAAATTGAAAAGTTCATACTGGACATGGCGCCCTCTGGTGAGCAGAACTGTGAAATTTTCATTTTTCTGATGCAAAATCTACTTCAAGTTTTCAACTTCTAAATCAAGTTTTTTGTTTACTAAAAGTCTCTCTCTCTTTCAGCGTGTTCTGCATCTTTGACTGATGTGTGTGGGTTCCTTCTTAACTTTGGGGACAAATTTGTTGGCTGTTTTGAGCTAAATCTAACAAAAACTCCACCTGGGCTCATCATAGTTTGTTGTGAATAAGCACAATAAGTTTTCTGTTAGGGTAATTGTGTGTGTGTGTGTGTGTGTGTGTG